GTTTTTTGTTTTGTCTTTTTTTTATTATATTCGACTGTGCAATAATCACTGTGCAATATACTCACTCAAGTGAGCAATCCTATTTATCCATATTGTATATTCTGTATCTATATATTAGGGGTGCAACAATACTCGTATCAATATTGAACTATTCGATACAGTCTAATCTACTCTCTAATGTCTATAAGACACAGACCTTCAAAGTAAAACAGGAAATCCATAGACAAAACTCAGAGGCACCAAACTTATATTAAACACTAGAAATAACAAATTACAATAATAAGACCACCCAAGTGAAAGCCTTCCGCCACTTGGCTATTTCTAGAAATTCTGTTTAAAAAATTATGGACAGAATCAGTGACAAAGGGCAGCCCCGGTGAAGCCCATCACACACTGGGAATGAGTCCGACTTATTGCCGGCTATGTGGACCAAGCTCTTGCAACGGTTGTATAAGCATTGAGTGGCCAGTACTCCCAGAGCACCCCCCCCTCCCCCCCACAGGACCCCCCGAGGAAAACAGTTGAATCCCTTTTCCAAGTCCACAAAACACATGTAGACTGGTTTAGGCAAACTCCCATGCACCCTCAAGTGTCCTTGAGAGAATAAGGAGCTGATCCAGTGTTCCACTACCAGGACGAATCACATTGTTCCTCCTGTATACGAGGTTCGACTAACAGACACACTATCCTTTCCAGCACCCTGACATAGACTTTCCCTGGGAGGCTGAGGAGTGTGATTCCCCTGTGATTGGAACACACACTCTGGTCCACCTCATCCTCTGGACCTCATCCACCAAAGGGGCTCTGCCACCAATTAACTGCCTCAGTGACCTCACCCCCGGAGATTGGCGGTCTTCCCCTTTGTCCCCAGACTCTCCTTCCTCGATGGAAAACGTGCCAGTGGGATTAAGGAGGTCCTTGAAGCATTCCTTCCACAGCCCAAAAATGTTCTCAGTTGAAGTCAGCAGCCACCTGTACTATACACAGTGCAGGTAGCACACAACTTTCCCCTACTGAGTCGCCTGACGGTTTGCCAGAATCCCTTTGAGGCAGTCCGAAAGTCTTTTTCCATGGCCTCTCCAAACTCCTCCCACACTCGAGTTTTTGCTTCAGCCCCTGCCCGCGCCACGTTCCGCTTGGCCTGTCGATACCTATCAGCTGCCTCCAAAGTTCCACAGGCTAACCAAGCCTGACAGGACTCCTTCTTCAGCCTGGTGGCTCCCCTCACCTCTTGTGTCCACCCTTTGGTTAGGGGGTTACCACCACCACAGGCACCAACCACCTTGCAGCCGCAGCACAGTGCAGCAGCTTCGTCAATGGAAATGCAGAACATGGTCCATTCAGACTCAATGTCCCCAGTCTCCCTCGGAATCCTGTTGAAGCTCTGCCGGAGGTGTGTGTTGAAGATCTCGTGGACCATGGCCTCTGCTAGGCATTCCCAGCACACCTTCACTGTAAGTTAAGGTGCGCCAGGTCTGTCCAGCGTCCTCCCCCGCCACCTGATCCAACTCACCACCAGGTGATGACCAGTTGACAACTCAGCCCCTCTCTTTACCTGAGTGTCCAAAACATGTGCCCTTAGGTCTGGTGATACAATTACAAAATTGATCATTGACCTGCAGAATAAAGCGTCCTGGTGCTACATACACTTATGGGCACTCTTATGTTCAAACAAGGTGTTCGTTATAGCCAAACTGTGATTTGCACAGAAGTCCATAAACAAAACACCGTTCGTGTTCAGATCCAGGAGGCCATTCCTCACAATCACACCCCTCCGGGTGTTGCTGTCACTGCCCACGTGAGTATTGAAATTCCCCAGTAAAACAACTGAGTCCCCAGGCAGAGCACCTTCCAGTACCCCACCCAGGGACTCCAAGAAGGCTGGGTACTCTGAACCACCACTTGGCGCATAAGAGCAGACGACAGGACCCGTTCCCTGACCCGGAGGTGCAGGGAACAAACCCTCTCATTCACTGGGAGAAACCCCAACATATAGGCAGCAAACCGAGGAGATACTAGGATACCCACCCCAGCCCACCACCTCTCAACAGGGGTAAATCCAGACTGAGTCCAGCACTTCTCCAAGAGACTCGTTGCAGAGCCCAAGCCGTGCATTGAAGTGAGTCCAACTATGTCTAGCCAGTACCTTTCAACGTCATGCACTAACTCAGGGTTCTTCCCCACCAGAGAAATGACATTCCCAATCACCAGTCTTGGAAGCTGGGGATCGGTCCGCCAGGACCTCCGCTCCAGGCCGCCACCCAGCTCACAATGCACCCGACCCCTATGGTGCCTCCTGCGGGTGGTGGGCCTGCAGGAAGATGGGCCCATGTCCCTTTTTCGGGCAGTGCTCACCATGCCCCATGGACTAAGGCCCAGCGACCAGAAGTTCACCCTCGGGCACCCTCGCTGAGCCTGGCTCTAGCGCAGGCCACTGGTAACCCTATCCTGGGCAGGGTGAACTGTTCCCTTGATGGTCTTCTAATAGGGAACAGTGTTTTTACAAAATCAAAATTCTCTATTCAGCAGTTGTTGTCAGGGTTTTGATGTTTACACCGATTAGATTTGCTTGTTGTTAATGTTCAGATATAAACAGAATATTACAATAACAAGAGAATGTTAAGATTAGATAACTGGCAGGATGTCTTTGTGTCAGATATGCTACCATCAGACCTCTAGGCATTATCAAGTAGAGGTTTTTCATTTCTTTAGATTAAAAAAATATATATTTTTTTTAGTGCAGAGCACCAGCAGGTTGCATTATAGGTTGGGATGTTTTATTGTATTATTTGGACTCTTCATTATTCCTCCACAGAGTGGACCAGGAGAGCTCAGAGGTTCCCAGTGGTCAGTCTGCCCAGCATCATCAAACACACCTGGACTCCATATTTATGGTCTGTACATGTACAACTACTTTTACATCTATTCTGTTCACAGTCATCTCCCTGCTGGGTTCTGGCTCAGAAGGTAGAGCAAACTTTCCTTTGAACTGCAAATACATCTGCAAATATCAAGCACTTCTCAGTATTTTAGAAAAAAATGTTAGATTTTGGCAGCTGCCCAGGCCGAAAATAATACATGGATAAAAGAACGTTTTATTTAGAAGTACTTTTCAACACAGTGAAGTAAACCTTACAAGCAACTAAATAATAAAATCACACTATGGCCAACAACACTTGAAAGATAAAATACTACCTAATACTATGTATTGTTGTCAGTGTTGGGGAGTAAGGGAATACATGTACCGCCGTTACGTATTTAAAATACAAAATATGAGTAACTGTATTCCGTTACAGTTACCATTTAAAACAGTGGTATTTAGAATACAGTTACTTTGTTGAAATAAATGGATTACACTGCGGTATTTTCCTGATTCATATTGTCGTGGGTCAGGACTGTTTAGGTTTTGTTTGAAAGCTATGTTCTGTTGTTCCAGGCGGCAGCGTTACGGTTGCCATGGTTACAGTGTGATGCGCGCTCTCTCTGCGACTGTGTGTTTCCTGGGTGAGAGAGCGCATTTTTGTTGTTGTTGTGCTAAGATAATAGGCAGAATGCTACAGGCATAGCCCTAAAGAATGTAGCCTCATGGGCAGTGTAGTCCGTGCTGCAGGGAGAATGGACTGCCATAC